GGGACGGAGCGGCCCCAATGAAGTCGGGAGTCTCCGCGAAAATCGGGAGGGTGACAAGTATGCGTGCCAGCGCCTCAGATGATTTGAGGCCAAATTTATCATATCTCAGGACTTTTTTGTTTCTTTTTTTTTCTTAACTTTATTTATTTTTTTACATATTAATTGTAAAACTTTCAATACATGATTGTCACTTAAAAGCCTGTGCTCCTACATTACAACAAAATATAAAATTAATTGATTAATTAATTTGAATAACAATTCAAGTTAGGTAGCCATTAAGGCATAAATTACAGAAAGTATAATTCTTTCTTTAATAGAAATGTTTCTTCTGCCCGTAAAGTGCAAACCGGGCTTTTCTAGATTAAGCGCATTTAAAAAACATGAGTCATTGTCCATTGCCGGTTTCAGTTGGATTATTCATTCACAGGTTGGCTCCGGTCAGATCTGGTCTCCTCCATTTGTAGATATTTACGGATTTTTGGAATCCACATAAACACATCGGCAATCCGGCTTACTTTTGAAGAATGTGTTTTACAAACAGTTCAATCCCTTGTGAATTGTTTATCACTTGCCGGCCGCCCTTTAATTTCTTAATTCAGCGGGGAATCCCAAATCGATTCATGCTTGAGTTCCAATAAACCATCAAAGGCACTCCAATATAAGGTACATTGTCCTTGATGAGGGTTCAAGTGAGGTCTCTATGCTTTCAGAGGTCCTCTCTCATCTCACACGAGTGATTACAGTCCTTGTGGCGTCTATGTACGCTTTCATTGGCTCCTTTAACAAATACTCACATTTCATCTCCGCTCTCTGTAACACTTTAATTACCGCTGTTGTGCAATCCCCCCCCCACCGTTGTGTGTGTGTGTGTGTGTGGTGGCAGTTGCCAACAGGTCATTTGGGGGGCTCTGCTTTTAGATGGGCAGCTAAATCCTACGCATGGGCTCCTTTTAAACAAAATTTGACAGAAATGACCGATGGCTTTTGCAAAGTGCGAATATGTCTGAGAAACAGTTCAATGGTCACCTCATTTAGGCTGGCAGACTATACCCTCAGTGCAATACTATGATATTGTGTATCAACGTTAATGGTCAGCAACTCAGCATGTCAGCGAACAATATCTGCAGCAAGGGTTCCCCTCGTCAGCTGTTTTCGCCTGCTGTCTTGTAAAGTGGGGACTTTGGTAGAAGATGGAGACTATCTTGGGAAGCATTTTAGAAGCTTGGTTGATCTACAATGTATGTCGGGAGCGTTCTGCATTCAAGCGCCTGGTTCCAGTTATGGCAGTTTGATTTGACATTCTCTCTCATCCAAAAAGAAAGCGAACAGTGGGTGGCGATTGTTGGCGAGTCAGTGGGATGGTCTTGTACTATCATGCAAAGATTAGGAGCTCCCTTGGCAGTGATCATCATTAAATTTACATTACGAGTATTCATTATTAGTTTTCTGCAGGATATTCTTTGCTTATGGATGTAATTAAGTATTGTCTCCTTATTTTGTGAGGGAACAGACCAATATTTGACCAAACAAATCAATTCAATCAATCTTTATTTTATATAAGCCCAATATCACAGATGTTACATTTGTTCTCAGTGGACTTCACAGGTTTGTACAGAATAGTTCAGCCCGATGACAATACGACACCCTCTGCTCCTTAGGACCCTGCTGTCCTTAACCGCGGGTCCATCGTACAGGAAACGACTTCCAGAGAAAAGCCCACAGTTTAACTGAGAACATGGAGAGAAACCATACAGCGGAGAGCAACAGAGGGATCCCTCTCACACAAGAATACGGACACGTAGCAATAGATGCACGTGGATAGATAACAAAGAAATATAATAATATAAACACATAAGTAGACCAAATGTATTAGAATAGACAATGTAGTGATAAATAAAATAAGAGAATGAAATCACACGAGAGAACTGTACAAAAGACAATCTGTGAGGCCAATTAAGAGAGAAGAAAAGAATAGAAAATGATATAGAAGTACAAGGCAAGAGACAACGGCAAGAGAAGGTTCAGCCAGAACTCGAAACCAGGATACAGAAATCACAAGATGCTACAGAGATAACGCAGGCAATCACCAAAAAAGGAACGATATATATGACACAAAAAGAGAATTATGGCGGAAGAAAAGCAATGAGAGCATTAATCGAGAACTCGAAGACAAATACACAAACAAACAAACACCAACAAAAAACAAAAGCTACAAACACAACACAGGAGAAAGACGAACAGTAAAGTGACCCCCCAACAGTCCAAAGCACATATAGCAGCTAAACATACGAACGCTAGATACACCTACATACGGGCTGTCGTCAGAAAATTAGAATTGTGATAAAGTTCTTTATTTTCTGTAATGCAATTAAAAACAAAAATGTCATACATTCTGATTCATTACAAATCGACTGAAATATGGCAAGCCTTTTATTATTTTAATATTGCTGAATTATGGACATACAGGCTTAAGAAAACTCAAAAATCCTATCTCAAAAAATTAGAATAGTTCCTCAGACCAAGTAAAAAAAAAGATTTATAACAGCAAAACACAAATTCAAACATTTGAAAAATGTCCATTAATGCATCAGTACTTGTGGGAATCTTTTGGCACGGATTACTGCATCAATGCGCGTGGCATGAGGCTAATCAGCCTGTGGCATTGCTGAGGTGTATGGATGCCAGTATCGATGCTTCAATAGCGGCCTTTGGCTCATGCGTAGCATTGTTGGTCTGGCTGTCTTGTCAGCCTTCCTTCTTCACAAGTACCCCCACATATTCTCTCATGGGGTTCAGGTCAGGGAATTGCAGGGCCAACGAGACAGTAATGCCTCATGGTTCAGAACCAGTAC